CACACACACACACACACACACACACACACACACACACACACACTCTCGCTCTCTCTCTCTCAGGTGTGTCTTTGAAAGCTGCTCTGACAGCTCCTCTTCCTGAAGACGAGATGAGTCACTGTGATGATTTACAGACACAGAAAACGATGCAAAGAACACGTATGAAAGAATAAACACGCCACACTCCTGTGCCATATGTCATAGTGTGTGTGTGTGTGTGTGTGTGTGTGTGTGTGTGTGTGTGTGTGTGTGTGTGTGTTTTACTGTGTGTGACTGTGTGTGGGCTAGCTCTCTGCAGCACAAAAGGACAGATGTCCACTCAGCAGTCAGCAGAAGGGGACGTGCTGTTTGTCCTGGGATGTGTGTTTCTATGTTTGGTCTGTGCGTGTGTGTGTGTGTGTGTATTTGCTGCTCTTCCCCCATGAAAACACATTTATAACCAGTTTGTTATTTACAGTCAAGAGATTTACTCACTCGTTTTCTCTATCCTGTCTCTCTCTGATTCTCATCAAACATTTATTGACTCCATCTTTAAGGGGGGACATTTGTATCTTTGATGGAGGATGCCAACAGAGGTAGACCTTTTTGTCTACCTCTGATTGTTATGCTGCTCTCTTCAAAGCCACCAAACTCCTATGACAAACCCAGCAATTTTACCTTTTTGATTTTTTGATCTGCTGCTGCTTTAATCAGTTCATTTGTATTATTTTGTAATACAAAGAAAAACATGTTCTTTTTTTAAAGACGTGAATTTAGGCCATTTTGCTTTTTATATGATAGGACAGCTGAAGAGAGACAGCGAATGTTGGAATAAGAGATTGGGGGATCACATGCAGCAAAGGGCCGAGGTCGGATTTGAACCCAAGGATTTTTTTCATTCATTCATTTTTCATCCTGACTTTACCCAGATTTTTTATTTTTGGCCAGCCCCCTTAATGAGTTTTCAACAGGTGAAGTCAGAGGTGGGGGCGGGTGATTTGAGAACAGATCAGGAAATGTTAAAGAAAATCTACCACAAGTGATAGGGTGGGAGAGGGTGGTGTTGTTTATGTCCTGGGACTGGCTCATGGTCACAGACTGGATTGAAAACAACTGGTGCAATCTTCATGCATGGAATCAAATTACATTACATTACAACTAAGTATGTTCTCCAGTCTTTTGTTCATATCATGAATATGTGTAACATTGATATAAAGGCAGATATTCTCATGCTAGCGTGGTATAGTGGACTCTCCTGATATCTGTGCGGCTCCTCTGTGTGGATAAGAGTCACACCTCAGAAAAATATCATCATGCAAAAATGGATCTTCTCCTTTTGTGGCGACAACTCCATAGAAGCCTGACATCTATTTCACTAAAGATTGGTTAGTTTTGATTGGACTTTCTCACCTGCTCTAATTAAAACAACCGTTTTTCTCCACTTTATTTCTCCTCATCACCTCGGAGAAGCGTCAATATGATTCATATCTCTTCTTCTTCTTCTTCTTCTTTCGTCTTTTAACTTTTCTGATCCGTGTGCGCGTCGTCCCCGGAGGTGAGGTTGAAATCACTTCATATTAGCGCTGCAGCTCTCCCAAGTCCTGCTGCAGAAAACTGATTATAACTCACAATGACAGTGAGCAGTGTGAGCGTACGCACACACTGTGGGAAAACCTCCACATGTTCGGCTCTGACCTACTTGTGAGGAGGTGCAGAGGAGTGGTTGTGACATCACCGTCATGTGACCCGCTGATGTCTGCTGGTGTCGTCTCACAGGCGAAGTGCGTCTGATGTGAAATCATCGAATCTGTCAGGAAACAGAGTCATCGTTCTTAACATCGCTCCATCTTCACATGCTTCCTTTGTTGCATCCTTACTCCCTCAGATCTTCTCCTTCATCACTTCCTCCATCAGATCCAAACCTTTTGAACAGTTATTGCATGTTTGTAGCGACTTAATGACAACATATTCTATGTGGCAGTTTTCCTCGGTGTGCTTTGAGCCTTTCTTGCATCCTTTTCAAATTTGTTATTCTTCAAATAAATCCTCCCTGAGCAGAACCTGGGTATCATGTTCGACGACCTGTTAACCATTAGGTTGGAGATATTCTTACTTTTACCTACATGTACACATGGGGGCGGCAACACCTCCCCTGCTTCTGTTTAGCATGTCGGCTGTGCAATTCCTCAAAAATAAACACAGATGCAAGCAAGAGGCAGTATAATCTATTTTTATCAATCTTTATTTGTAGAGTGCCAATTCATAACAAATGTAAAAAAAAAAAAAAAAATAAAAAGAAGCCACTCAAGAAAAAGACTGCAGTCTTTGTTAAATGATTATCAAAGACCCAACATTAATCCACCATGAGCACAGCAATCACCAACGTTTATCAAAGTGACAGTGGCAATGAGAATCTGCCTTTTAAGAGGCAGAAACATGGAGCAGAACCAGACTCTGCTGAGACTGTGTTGGTGTGAGGGGATAGAGGGGATGGCTACAATGCCAGCATGAATGGTGAAAGTATGTGTAATAATGGCAGTATGATGAACAGTGGGCAGCAGTGTAGAGGCAGAGGGGATGTGAACGAGTCGACACAGCAGCAGGGACGACAATGGTAATTATCTACATCTGTATGATGTGTCATTGTCACTGCACAGACATAAACATGCCGTTTAAATAGACGGATACATTCAATTTAAGAAAAACTGTCAAAACGAATAGAAACAAGATCAGTCAACAAGTGACCCTGTGTCTGGTGACTTTCAGACTTTCATATTTCCCAGCCCTAGTATGACGCTGCGTTTTTATTGGTTGAGTTTTTCATTAAATAATATCTGATGAGTATATTTTGACATTGTGATGAAAAACTACACAAAGAAGCCTTCACAAGGACTCTTTATGTTCTCGACAGCTGAGGTGTACCAAACCTACGGATATATTCAGCTGATGAGATTCATCAGTTCACAGAGTTTTTTTCTTCTATTGTGTGCGACACTTCTCCAACGTCTTAATAAAATATTCTCATTTAGGTGTTTGATTGACAGGAAGTGACAGCTGCTTAAGAAATGAAAAAAGATGCAGCATTTTTCCCGACTGCAAAACAAGTTTCTCCTCTTTTTTTCACAACTCAAAACTAACATTTTAACTCCGAAAGAGTTCAAAAATATGCTTTGCGGGTGGATCTTTAGCTCTAACCCCGACCTTGGCCTGTGAGTGAAAAAGTACATTTTGGACTCTGTGTTGACGATGGAGATCATATTGATGATGATCATAAAGTAAAATAACAATGAAACAGTCGGGATCAGTGCAGCTCTGCCTGTCCTGACCTGACCTGTGTCCAATCAGACCTGTGTGTGTGTATTGGCTCTCGCTGACCTTGTTTCCTCCTGTCTGGATCCTTGCTTGTGCTGTCGCCTCCAAATGGTTTGTGTGCATCTGTATGTGCTGTTCCTCGTCAGCTCGGCATATTATCTCTACAGGGAGCCCACGATGAATGAAAGGGCTTTTAATCTGCTTCGTATTGAGAAGGGGAACAATCACAGTGAGAGCAGGATACCAGAACACACACACACACACACACACACACACTCCTGTCTGAGTCATAGTCCCGCAGTTTACAGCTTTATGTAACTCTGAGCGCTAATGGGCTGATACAGATGACTGATAGACACCAGCAGGATGACTTCATGGCTCAATGAGCTGCGGTTGTTCCTCTAAAGGTCGAGTAAAGAATGACAGCCTGCTGCTCGCTTGTTGTTGACATCTGTGGGCTATAAATCGTCCACTCTGCAATTAATTTGGTTTGTTTCATACGGGATAGAGGGGTCGTTTAATCTAGTTTGACTTTCTGCTGACATTAGTGAAGACCATCCAGAAATGAAAATATTAAAGCAGCAATAACTTTTCCAACTTCAAACTGTAGTTTCAAACTTTCAAAGGTAGATTTAATACTAAAATAACTATCAACAGGGTCACCGGCGTCTCTCCCATGTCTACAAGGTGCCCCGGTTGCCTGGTTACTGCAGTATGTGAGAAGTGTGTATAGCTCTGCAGAAGTAGTTCACACACTCTGTTTGATGCCGAGGCTGTGAGGAAGAGCATGGTGATGGATGAAGCTAAATAAGAAGAGAAAAAGAAACTAGTGATTTCACAGCCGTACATTTCACAATCCTTACCGAATAGATGATTGTCTTTGTTCAGAATTTCCCCAAAAATATTTTTCACCGCAATCCACGGGCAAACATAACACAAACACTTATAGTATATTTACAGTTCTTTTCAGTCTGTGTGAGGTTAACTGTCTCTGTGGTCTGTCTTCATATAGTCTGCTGTGTGGGTGCATTCAAAGGTCAAAATCCCCTCCAGATGAAATACCCTCTCTGTCATCATTTTATTGGGAGTTTAAGGTTTTGTTGCTTTTTCTTTTTGTTCTTTTTTTTTATCAAGACATGAATATGGACATGTACAAAGTCTCTGAAAAAAAAAAAAACGTACACAATTTGAAAATATTATCTCATCGTTAAATATTCTTTAATGAAGCCATTTGTTTAAAGAGGAAGGCTACCTGAGAACATTTTATAATCATACCTGCACACGTTATGTTTTATTCCAGCTCCAATGCTCACTTTATTGGCCGGCCTCAAGCTGCTCTCCAGTTCATATCCTCCTTCTTGTCTGTTTTAGTGACAGCTTTGGATTTTAAAGTGACAGCTTGAAAAATAAGTTTATGTTTAAGTTTATAAAAGTAGTTGATTCATTTAACATTTTAACCTCACATTGTGCAGCCTTTGTGAATTGTATTATAAATGTTTATATTCAAATATTAATGTCAGTGAAACAGATGTAGAGTACTTATAAGACCTTGAGGAAGAATTTTTGTTCTGATGTTTTTGTCTGTTTGAATCCCCCTGCAGGTGAAATATAAGAAGGACTTTGAAGAGAGTAAAGGTCGAGGGTTCAGCATCGTGTCCGACACTCCAGAGATGCAAAGACTCAGAAAGACCCAGGAGCAGATCAGTATTGTATGTACAACAAACACACACACACACACACACACACACACACACACACACACACACACACAGATACACACTAACAGTTTTCTCTTGGTGTTTGCATATGTGAGAGTGTGTGTGTGTTTGTGAAATGTGATGAATGCAAGTGAAATGTATGAAAAAAGGTGAGAGGTGCAGTTTAGTCTGTGAGCACACACACGCACACACACACACACACACACACACACACACACACACACACACACACACACATAATGTCCTCTTGATCAAGCCCTCCGGTGTTGTCGATATCAACTATTTGAAGAGGAGCTCCTCCTGGAACCTGTGACAGTAAGTGACCATGATTGATGTATTGATTGATTCTAAGGATTGACAAATATTTATATTAAATGTATATTTACTTTTGGGATTTGTTTTGAGTGTGTGTACGTACAGATTCTCTACCCCTGTGTGTCCTGTGACCATCAACAGAAAAGGTACTGTTACTATTTCTCTGGTATATCTCCCTTATAGTAGATTCCCTCTCTCGTTTACATTTTTATTCTGAGCATCTACAAACATCAGCAATTTGGGTGTGAAACATAAATACAATGAAACAAACCTCCCTGCAGCCTGTCGTTGTTTGCATGTTTGTGTTTAAACTGATCAAATAAATGCTATTTTTGGACTTTACATGCAGATTAAAACAGCATGAGATCAAAACAATCGTGAAAGATATACTTAGCTGTTGTTCTTTAATTACTTTAATAACCATTAAAGGTACAATATGTAGAATTTGATGACAATGTTTACATTCATTAAAAATGAACTAAACCCATGTTATATATTTTTGATTGTTGAGTACTTACATTACTTAAATATTTCCAACAGTTATCAAAGCCAGAGAAATACATAATTTTATAGTTTTTACAGTTGTAACGGGACTTGTCTTGTTGAGGAGGCCGCCATGATGAGCCGCCATAACAGACAGAATGTTTACCGTTGCCGTGGAAACATTGAATTGAACTGTTGCTGTATGTGCTGCTGTGATAAAAGGGTCACGTTGATTTATACTTGGTTACATCGTCGATGAACATGTTCTCTTTTGTCTTTACTATGTCAACGCAGAGTTTGTTTTGTCAGTGCCAGAAATGGCATTGCACAAACTAAAACTGAGTAGGCTCTGGTAGATTTGTGTTAAAAGAGTTTTAAGGGTTAAAAACTCATCACTCAACTTTTGTTTCAACATCAGGTCAAAAATCATCAGCTCTCTTTATAACCAAACGAGTCCAGGGAGTCTTATCTTTTGTTTTCTCTTTGGTTTCCATCTTTTTCTGTCTCATTGTCTTCTCATCTCCTGCCCTCCCCCTCATGTCCCCCTCTGTTTACCTGACCGTGTGATCCTATTATTCCGCTGCGTAAATACACCACCCATTCTCCCTCCTCATTTGTTCCACTTTAATTGATACATACACACACTGCCTCTCTATCAAATGGTGTGACATTCAACAGCCCACACGTTTCTTTATCGTAGTACTCAGTTATTGTCAAGGTTGACCTGGGGGGAGGAGGAGGAGATGGGAAGAAGAGGATGCTAATAAGAGGAAGGAAACAGAGTTTGAATTTTGCACACAGATTAATTCAAAGTGAGCTGTCTGTTAATTTGTTTGTCCAAAGAAAGAAACAAAAGAATAGATAGCCAATGTGTTTGGATTGAGATGAATCTCAGAATTTCAGTCCAGTAGACTGAAAGAAACGTGTTGTCCTTCTGAGGTTTCTCTGGCAGTAAACCTGGTTCACATCAGGACAAGATCACACAGAACTCTCCCAGGAAAAGCTTTGTGTTTCCAAATTCATTAAGAGGATCTGAGAGAGAGAGAGAAAGACAGTCCCTGGTCACAAGGCAGTCTGTAGCTTTTTTTAACCATCTCTAAAAACTGTCTTTCCCAGTTTAGCTCTGAGCAGAGGCAGATTTTCACCAAAGCCACGGGTCCTCAGAGAGCTTTGTTTACTGTGATTCTGGGTGAGACAGTGATGACTGCAGGCTCGAGGTGCAGCCAAGACTCAGCTGTTATCAGAACACTAAAGGCACGATGTGTTCAAAGACCTGATTAATCAGTTCTTCTCTACAGAAGTCTGAATAGGACATGCAGTCATTCATCTTATTTTAAGATGAACAAGTCGAGATCTTGCGAAAACAACCGAAATGTACTGGTTATCACGGGAAAACAGAGTCAAATCAAATGTATGGATTCATGTCAGCTTGCAGCTCTGTTGATTACACTTTTATGATTTATCGTTGGATTTCTTTGCAAAATCCTTCTGGATTTTTTGTATGTAGAGAACACAATATTATTGACTTATTATTGAAGCCCTATAGACTAATATCCATACATTTTATTTTACTCTGTTTTCCTGAGTAAAAACTTGGCACAAAACTGGGTACAATGACATGCTTCCAGGAAAACAGGGAACAGACATGAAGATTCAGAATGGAAGCAAAATGGTTCAGAAAATGAAATTGGTCTGATTAACTCATGTCTCGATTGGCACACACTGTGTGGGTATTTTTTGATGTAATGGTATGTCAAGAGGTTTAAAACCCGCTCCAGCTCCCAGTCTGTCGTTACATTGACTGAAAGTTAGGTTGAGACACCCTTTCAGCATGGGACTCCAAGCCTACGGTTGTTTCTTGTGGGCGAGCTGACAGGAAGCTAGGAGACAGGATGCTGACCTCAGGAGGCTAGCAGGCTGATCTCGGTGGCCTACTCTTGGAATAGGATCACTTTATTGTAAACAAATTTGGGTGTCACTGTTAACATTCCTTTTTCTTGTCTGCCATTAGTCACATAAAAACTTTTCAAAAGTATTTTTTATTGGAAAAAATAAAAATAAAAAACAAGGAGAAAGGCTAGGCTGCAAAGTTTAACTTTCTAAAACAAGAATATATAAAGTGTGCATGAAGCTTTAGTGTTGATCTTTTTGGCAGGAAGGTTGGAATCTGGAACAAAAAGTATTTCCGTCAAAAACAGAATTCTACACACGGAAATGTATGGTTTTATTTCAGCGTCACTGAGCTTTTTAGGTTGTTTTTGGGAGTCATAGATTTAACATTCCTTCCAGCTTTCTCACCTTCAACCCTTTGACCTTCACACAGACAACAGGGACATGTTCATATTGTGGATACCACTCTTTGGTTTTATAACACACACTTTACCCAACACTGGCACTGTGACTGAGATGCAGGGCATGGTAGCGATAAGGTCTTGAGTAGAGGGCTAAATGTGGAAGCTAAAAAGTGATAAGAAGTACCCGATGAACCGATGACCCACAGAAGACAGTCAGCCATTGCAGGAGACGGGAGATACTAGACGAAGCAGTTTTCTGGCTTTCTGATTTATTAATAATTAGGTTGACAAAGACAGTGAAGGGAAACCCAACATCATAGAAACAGAGCGTAAAATAAAATCAGAATCAGGAGAGGTGACGAAGACACTGTAGAGGACTAATAAAACGGGGACTGAGCATTACTACTACAAAGAAGACATTCAGAATCAGCAAGTGAGACTTTGTTTGGTAAGCTCGAAGGCTAACTCAAACACCAAGGAAGTCAAAAGAGAACATTTGTAAAGAGACAACCATAAAACAGACAAGGTGAGTGCAACAATGAGGAGATTGACTAGAAGAACGTGGAGGTCCAGAAGATGACAAAATGCATTGAAAAAACTTGAATATGTTTCCACATTGAGAAGTGATTGTGGTTATGTGATCATGATCTTAAACTTGAATCTGAAAGTAAGGCCAGGACTGATCTTAACTTGTTGACTTTGATGAATTTTAAAAGGTGACCTTGACAGATGGCCAGCACAGAAAAGGTGTAGGATTCTTAACGAAGAATTGATCAGCGAGTTGTAACTTGTAGTTTTTGTATTGAGTAGTACTTTCAAGTATTATTTGGTTTTGAGTCGATTTTATTCTGTCTTGGAGATGGCTTACAGCTGGTTGTTTGTCCATAAGAAGTCTTTAGGAACCACAGCAGATATAACTTTTCCAATATGGCAGCAACCACATCAGGTCCAGACATGACAACTTTTAGCACTGTTATTTCTGACTTTGTGAATTAGAGTGACTTTTAATCACAGTTCTGATACCAATGTCATAATAAGTGTGCATGCCTCTGATAAGGCCTAGAATGCGGGACGGGAAATTTGCTAGGACCCGTCTGTGCATCAATCCAATAATGTGAATTATTAGCCTGAATAGATCAACTCATTTTTTTGCTGTTGCTCTAAAACAGAAGCCTTCATACAAAACGGTGGTGTACTTCCACAATGGAGGTATGACGGCTTAAAACCATTTAAAGCAGCAACGAAGCACTGATTAAATTCATCTATTGTGTTACAATAACAACCAATAACAGAATCAGTGTTTAATCCAAGAGTGGTTTATTAACCATTTCTCTTAATTATGACCAAACTACAAAGCAAAAGAAAGTTCTTTGTCATGTTGTCTGACGTCTGTTTGCCGGGCAAAATAAAAAGATAGCAAACACATTACATCCATGCAGGACAAATATTAGTCTTGGACCTGTTTTAGATCAGTATCGATTGATTTGCGAGTTGAAGTTTTGAAATCCCATTGAAAAGGAAGAATCTTACAGGAGCATTTCTACTTTAAACCATTTTGTTGCAGTACACCAAAATTGAAACATGCTGCAAACAGCAGGTTTAATAATGTGTAATTGTTTTTTATGAACTCAGATATCTAAACAGCTGTGAACATAAAGTAATTCACTAAAGTTCCTTTGTTAAACATGTCAATGTGAGACAGTTTGTTCAGAGCAACTATTTCAGGCGTCTGGCATGTTGGAGGTCAGGTAGAGTAGAAAGACTGTACAGTCATCTTTGAGTGAAGGTCGGGCCCAATGTATGAGTCAAACGATGAGGGGCTCCAAGTCCAATGTGTGCACGTTTGCCACTTTTTGATTCCACCAGGTTGTGCTTTTGCCTTTTTTTTTTCTCATCAGT